GAGCGCCAGTCCCATCCGCCCTCAGAGTCGGCTCTTGTCCCCTGGGGACGGGCTTAGGGTCCCTCCTCCCTGAGAGTGTGGCCTGTTCCTTGTATCTCTGGTCCTGGGGCCCCGATGCCCCGGGCCTCGCTGATGCTGACGGTGCTGGCCAGGCCTTGGGAAGCGCCCCGTCCCCGTGACCTCCCAGGCCACCTCTCCTCTGGCAGCTCATCCGGGGCCTGCCCCTCCTGAGCCTAAAACCGTAGCAGCAACCAGTGTCCCTCCCACAGGGCCCTTCCTCAGCAACGTCTAGAAAGGCCTGCTGCCCCCCTGGCTACCCCCTGCCCCCCAGCACTGGGGAAGGGTCCCACTCGGGTCCCCAGAGGCCCCACCGCTCACCACCGTGTGAGTCCTGGCGCTGCCGCAAAACCAAGAACCACAGCTGGGCGTCTGAAAGTCCAGAAATACACTCCAGCGGTCAGGACGGTGGTGTGGGCAGGCTGGCTCCTCGCGGGCTCTCGAGGAGGACCCGGCCTGCCGCTTGGGCCTCACCCGCCATGGCCCAGGGTGGTCTCACCTCGAGACCCTTGCCTCACATGCAGAGACCGCTGGGCGCATCTTCCGCGGGCGCCACCCATCGGCGCACCACAGCGTCCCACAGGCTCTTTCTGGGATGGAGGCGTTTGGGTGGCTGTTTATCCATTTAACTAGATAACGGACGCACACCCGCGGGGGCTCCAGAGCCCGCCAGGGGCCGTCCGTGAAGTGCGCCCCCTCCCCGCTGGGCCCCTCGTCCACGCGTCCTCCCAGAGACGCTCCGGCATCTGCGTGTGGCGCTCTCGCCGTGTTCATTGTACTGACGTGCGGCGAGCTGCTCGTGCTCCAGCGTGCGGTTCAACGAGTTTACATACGCATACGGCTGGGAAACCCTCGCCACGTCCCAGACCGTGAACCTCCCTTCCACCCCAGAGTCTCCTCCGCCCTTGTCTCCCCTCCCTCTGTTCAGTTGCTCTTTATTCTTGCGGTGACAGTGTGACCGGGTCAGACCCTGGACGGTTGCCTCGTCTCCTCTCTGCTGTTCTCTCTCTCAGTCAAAAACATCCTGCTCGAAACACCTACGTGCCCAGTTGCAAGGGATGTGCTGTAAAAGTGAGTTCCTACAACCAGAAGCCTTGAGCCAAGGGGCTGCCCCTCGTTAGGTTCTGACTGGTGTTCGCTCCGCACCAGGCGGGGTGTCGTGCGCACTGTCCCACGCGCGGCCTGGCTCTCCCCACCGACCTCCCCTGTGGAGGGCGTCGGCAGGGGCCCTAGCCTTGCCGGCTCCCCACCCCCCATGCCGATGCTGGGTTGGGGGGCTGCTGGGCTCCACTCTGCCCCCTCTCCTCTCTGCCCACCCCTCCAGTCAAGGCCAGCTTGCCGATTTTCTCAGCATGAAGATCAACTTTCAAGCTCGAGACTCTAAGCGTCGGGGCTCTGCCCACACCTCCTGGGCTCCAACCACCTACGGCAACCCGACTTTTCTGGGCCAGCTGGAACTCTTTAAAGGGGGAAAATAACCCAAAGGGGCGGGAGTGGTGTACTGGGTGGAATGGCCTCCCCCCCCCCAACAATTCATGTTTCCCTAGGACATTAGAACGGGCCCTTATTTGGAAATAGAGTATTTGCAGACGTAATCAAGTTTAGATTGGGATTAGGGTGGCCCTAAGTCCAGTGACGGTGTCCTTATAAGAGACAGAAGAGTAGAGGACACAGACATAGAGAAATTCAGGTGACCCTGGAAAAGCCAGGATGGAGGGCGTGGCCCCAAGCAAGGAATGTGGGGCCACCAGGAGCTGGACGAGGCGGGAAGGACCCTCCCCGAGTGCCCTCCGAAGGAGTGTGGCTCTGCACACCTCGGGTTCAGCCTTGTGGCCTCCAGAGCTGGGAGAGAATACGTTTCTGATGGTTAAGTTTTTGGAGCTTTGCTATGGCAGCCTCAGTCTCATATAAGCAATGTTCAGGAAAGTTTCCCAATACTCAGGAATAAGGCAAATGGGTGACACTGTGTCCCTTCATTGTATCCTCGAAGCCCCGGTCCAGCCAGTCTGCCTGAGCATCATTCGACCCTCCCAGGGAGCGTCGCTGTGTTGGACTTACCGTTTGTTATTGGCCAGGCCCAGGTGCCCTCGAGCTAGACATTCACATGTAGGAAACAGAAAAGCTACAAGTGATTGATTTTCCTGTAAAATGCAAATCACTTCTGTCTGGCAGAAAGGATAATCCCGAAGGTTATGGTTTACTGCCCCGTGAGCTATTAACCTGTTGTAGGTCCAGCTTAGCAATCCGACTCCGGCATCCTTTCTTTTCCTCTGACCAGATGTGGATATATCAGGGCTGGGGCGCCCTTCTCAGAACCAGCTTTGCCATCCAGCCAAACCCCTTCATCCATGCGTTAAATGAAACTAACACATGTGTAGTTTATATTTCTCTGAGAACTGTGTTTTCATCCTTTTGAAAAATACACTGTTGCAGCAGACTGTATTAAAGTGGAGAGATCTGCTATATCTAGTTTCAGGCAAGGTTCGATCCAGGGGCCGTCTTAAAGGGGGAGTGTCTCAGCCTGAGGTTGAGCGTCCCCAGCTGATGCCAGGCAGGACGTCTCCAACAAGGCCAGCCCACACTGCAAGTTCTTGGCAAAGCAGATGATCTCTATTTTACGCCGCTGAGCTGGGGATATTTGTTACACGGTGCCGGGTAGCTCGGACACTGGCTGCGTCACCTCGGACGAGACTTGACCTCTTTGTGTTTCTCTACATGTGAGGTGAGGGATAAGAACATCTGCCTAACCGGTTCATCCTTCAGATACTACTAACTGAATGTCCGCTGTATGTCCGGCACTGTTCCAGGGGCCCCACGACAAACAGCCGAGCGTGGAAGAGGGATTCCAGAAGCATCAGTTTCTTCCCCCACTTCTTTATCTGTGCGCCGCAGATGAAAGTCCCTTCCCTCCCTCCCAGCCAAACGTCTCATATAAAGCAATAATCATCTGCGAGGTACAGACATGTCAATTAAAAGCTGGCTGTCACCTCGGGGTCACCGGGCCTCCAATGCTTCATTGGTCCCTCAGGGCTGCTGGATGGAGAGGCTGCAGGCAACCTTGGGGGGCAGGGCTGTCCTCTTTACTGCTGAGTGGTGTGATCTAGTCAAGTGGAAAAGTGCTATTTGCTGGGCAATAAAAGCGTCTTTTGTTCACTGCCCTGGAAACATATTAATGAATAACCCAGTGCATGGCCCCTGGTTCTAGCCGCATGAAATGGTCATTTATGTGACAAGATCAAGGTGCAATTTTCCTTTTGTAGTTTTTAGTGGGCCCAGAACACCAGGCTGATCAAGGCCTCAACGGGTGCGATGGGCTTTCCCTGTGGACCCCCAACAGGCCCCAGTGGCATTCAGGGCCGGCTCTGCCGGCCCTGGACACACTTCTGAATGCAACCCCAGGCACACAGATCCACTGGTGCACACTGAGGAGGGGAAGGCGTGCTGGGGAGCCAGTGAGTGGGGAGCTGGATGCCTTCCAGAGGCCTTGAGGAGGGGGCAGGCCCTGAGGTGGGGGCTGTGAGGGCTTGTTGGCAGGGCACTTCTCTGCAAGGCCCCTGAGTTGCCTGAACTGCTCCTAGTCCTGACATTAAAAGGAGGCATGGTGCTGGATCACGTCAGGGACTGGGGGGAGGGGGTAGCTGGTGAGCCCTGTTGCTGAGGCCCCAATCTGCTTATATCTAGGGCCTGGCACATGGTTGGCACAAGGATGGGGTGGATGCCCAGATGCAGGTTGGAGCTCCTGGCAGAATCACAGAGCGCAGGGGCGCTGGGAGGGCAGTGATCCACTTCCTCCCTCCAGATGAAATCCAGAGGCCCAGTTTGGGGACGAGGGCTGGTTGCCCCGGGTACAGGGCTGGGAGGAGGCTCTACGTGGGAGAGCTGGGGTCTCCACGGAGCCCTCTCACTGTTGTTCTCGCTGCTATAAGAACGATAGTAACAATAAGTGACCACCAGAGCTGTAACTGTCCACCTCGCTGTTTTAGTTCCTTACGGGTTGAGCTGCATCCGCCGCCCCCTGCGAATTCATAGGTTGGAGACCTACCCATACCCCAGACCTTAGCAGGGGACCTTTGGTGGAAATAGGGTCACAGAAGATGTAATTAGGCTGAAGTCGTTAGGGTGCGCCCACCCAATGTGGCTGGCGTCCTTGTACGCAGAGGACATCTGGACACAGACACACGGGGACGACCCCACGGGAGGGTGAGGGCGGAGACGGGGTGTGCGCACGAGCCGAGGAGCCCCAAGGCTGCCGGCGACCACCCGCGGCTCGCGCGCAGCCTGCGGTGGGGTCTCCCCAGAGCCTCCGGGAGGAGCCAGCCCCGCCACACCTCGGTCTCAGACCTCTGGCCTCCAGAGCCGACAGCAATCACACTTCTGTGGCTGGAGCTGCCCGGGGTGTGACGCTATGTTGTGTCGGCCCTCACTCCTTCCTCCCCCGCAGGTAAGCCCCGCAGACACCTGGGGATGCAGAGGTGCCGCACAGCCTGCCTGACCCTGCCAGTGCACCTGCTCTTGGGCTTCCTGTGGACTGAAGCTGTGTGTCTTTGGGCAAACTGCTGAGCCTCTCTGGACTTCCGTTTCCTCATCATAAGGAGCTGACGGCTGGCCTCTGCCACTGGGTTGCTGTGAGGGTCAGACTGGAGAAGACTGGCAAGGACTGGGCAGAGCAGCCCGGCTCAGGGCCTTTCAGAGCCCAGCTGGGGCGGGGCCCGGGCAGGGGGGCGGGGCCTGTGGTGAGGGGGCGGAGCCTCCGCGGCCAGGGGACTGGTCCCAGCGGCGGGGAGGGGCCCGGTCAGTAAGGGGTGGGGCCTTCGAGGCGGGGGCAGGATCCGGCGGCGTAGGGGCGGGACCTGTGGTGCGGGGGCGGGGCCCGGGCGGCAGGGGCGGGGCCTGACGCCCGTGGCCGCCCGCCGCTCGACGTGCTCCGCGCTCTCGCTGGGCCCGCTCGGCGCTCGGCCCGCCGCCCTGCGTAGGGCGCGCGTCGCAGGTCGGGGCTCGCCAAGATGTCGACCGCCATGAATTTTGGGTCCAAGAGCTTCCAGCCGCGGCCCCCGGAAAAGGGCAGCTTCCCGCTGGATCACTTCGGTGAGCGGCGGGCAGCCGCTGGGCTCCCGCGCCGGGCCTCGGGTCCTGAGTGTCCGGTGGCGCCGCACGGCTCCGCGGTGCAGGTGGGGAAACCGAGGCCCGGCGGGACGGCCCGGCGCGGAGCGGCTGGCGGGAGCGGGGCGTGTGGGGGACCCGCCGCGTCCGGGCCTGCAGGCTGGTAGCCAGGGACGCGCGCACGCCTGGAACGCGCTGCTGAGCCCCGCAGGTTTGTGGCCCGGGTCTGGGTTTGGGGTGAGCCCCTGTGGAAGCCAGGGCTCCGAGAGTGGACTTACCGACTGTTGTCTTAACCCACGGTTTCCTATGAAATGTTCCCACCCCGCAGCGAAGGTGAAACGGTCCCACGTGAGCTCCCCGCTGGCCAGGTGCTCGCCTCCCAGCGCGTGCTTGTGGAGGAAGCGAGTTTTGAAAGGAGTCGTGCTGCTAGTCAGGCGGCTGTGCGAGCGTGCCCTGTTTTCGCTTTAAGAGGAAATGCTGTTTTCCTTCTCGTTCTAGGTGAATGTAAAAGCTTCAAAGAGAAATTCATGAAGTGTCTCCGCGACAATAAGTTTGAAAACGCTTTGTGCAGAAAGGAATCAAAAGCCTATTTAGAATGCAGGATGGAGAGGCAAGTACCTGCTAACATCTGTGACTTCTCGAACCTTCCTCGGCTCCCCAGAAGCGTTCTTTCCCCAAGAGCTCGTTGCAGCGTGGCTCATTGAGACTTCTGCCTTTCACAGCTGTGTAATTGCTTTTGCCCCTAGAATTGAGGCAGATTAAATGGCACTAGAAGTTGTGTAGTAGTCACGGGGACCTTTCCGTGAGTGACAGCCTCGTATACGACTGCATTCCTCAGAGTATTTTCTTTCCAAATTTGGGAGCTGCTGACCTGTCATTAAGGTTTCAGACCCGTACATCATGAAAATGCTGACTGAGCCAAAAGATTTGAAGGCTGTGGGTACACGGTTTCTTTCTTTCACGTTCTCAGACCATAAAAATGTTGTTTTGTCCCATGTAGACTCAGCTGTGCTTGAAATGTGACAGGAGAGACGATAGGCCATTTCAGAAACGATGAAAGACAAAGGATTTGTTTTGTCTTGACCAGAATTTACCAGAGCTCACTTTTAAATAAAGCAAATGTTTCTAACTATGATCCGTTGAGATTTTACTTAAGAACTGTTCTAGTCCTTGATGGGGAAAGGCAGATAATTATATAGTGGGGGTGGGAACTTTTATTTATGCTTTTTGAGCCCTTCATTAGCTCATTTAGGAATCCAGTCTTCAGATGGCTTTGTCTGAAGATGGGTTGACATAAACCAATCCAGTTGGAGCCCCGTTTCCATTTTCCCATAACAAACTCAGACATTTCCCTCAGGGCAAAATCTCTTGTGTTTCTCAGGCCCACAGGCGTGTTGAGGGCTATTTGTAGACATGTGGGACCTTGGGGATGGGCCCTTTTGGGAGTGGGGCCGTCAGGTGAGGCCCTCACTCTGTCTCCGGAGTTGTTCAGGCTCACCCGCCCCTCTGAAGCTTGGATTAACCACCCTGTGCAGGCCAGAGTACCCAGCACACACAGGTAGCTGCTCCTGCTGGGAGTTGTTCCAGAGTTGGGCTGCCTGTGTCCCCAGAGAGGCTCCTGGCTTGCCTGGTGAAGGACCAGCAGAAGGGCCCTGTCTTTTCTCCCCATTTGACCCTGGGAGTGAGCTGCCTGCTCTCCGCGTGGCCGTGCCTTGCTCAGCACAGCTTCTGGAGACCGGCCTCCCCGAGGCCTGCTGAGGTCGATGGGGACCAACGGATGCAGCTGGCCACTCAGTGGGTTCTATTATTTTAAGTGGCTTCGCTGGCTGGTCAGGCAAAGTTAAGATAAATTTAAAGGGTGCATGTTTGTTTTTGACTTGGTCAGTGATTTTGGCCATAGACTTTTGGATGGTTTTTAATGAAAATCCACGACCACCTGGATTCAGTATCTAGATTTTGCACATTTGCTCCTCCTGCTTTTTACAAACCTCTTTTCTTCCCTTTCCCTTTTGTGCTGAAATCCCAGACATGACTTACTGGTTCGTGCCTCTGTATGCATCTTTGTAAAAAACTGGACCACAACAAGTTTTTAAAGTTGCCTCTTGAGGCCATGGGCCGCTGTAGCCAGATGGGGAAGTATGTGTGCTGTAGGTGTGGGCCACATTTTCTCACAGGAAAAGCTGTTTGGGATTGCTTTGTTGGCAGAGAAAACAGCAAATACACCTACGATCCGTGATCTCAAGGCTCTGTAATCATTTCACTTGGGTCCCCGTGCCATGGGGCGGGCATCGGGCCACGCAGCCGCATCCCGGAGCACGGGTTGGTGTGAAGGCCAGGCCTCCCGGAAATCCGGTTGCCCTAAATCATGCGCTCAATGCTGGCTCAGTCCCTAAAATACTGGACTGGAAATGGGATGGTCTCTTCCCTTATGCTGAAGGGAGGCATTGAAATCCTTTTGGCTTTGGAACTTGTTAAATGTTGTATTTGTTGTTTTTAGGACCTTGCCAAGGAGCTGGATTTTATGAAGATTAACAGATTTGTAGAAAGGATGTGTTGAACCATGTCTTATTTGGTTTCTACTTTTTTTCTCCTTATTCCTTCTTTGTGCCGCTAAACACGCAGGTCCGTCCTGTCGTGGCATGTCGGGAGGAGCACCGCTCGCCCTGTGTTGGTGTGCTGCCAGCCCACCTGCCCTTCTGTGGCGGGAAGTCTGACACGGGTGTCACGGGGCTCAGTCAGGGCGTGGACAGGCTGCTTTCCTTCTGGAGGCTCCAGGGCAGAATTGCTCCCTGCCTTCTCCAGCTTCTAGAGGCGCCCGTGCTCCTTGGCTCGTGGCCCTCTGCCTTCTCAAAGCTGGCGATGGTGTATCTCTTCGACCCTTCCGTGCTTCCCATCTGTCTCTGATTTTCAGGATTCACGTGATGAGGTTGAGTCGTCCTGGGTGACATCACCTCAGAATCAGCCAGTTAGCAGCTGTGTTTCACCTGTAGCCCGAATTCCCCTCTGCCGTGGAGGGTGACACAGGCTCCAGCAAGGAGGGTGTCATCTGGGGGTCGTTGCTCTGCTGATCACAGTGTGGTCAGAGAAGTCAGTTTTAAGAACTGTCAGCCAGGGACGCCTGGGTGGCTCAGTTGGTTAAGCGACTGCCTTCGGCTCAGGTCATGATCCCGGGGTCTTGGGATCGAGTCCCACATCGGGCTCCCGGCTCAGCGGGGAGCCTGCTTCTCCCTCTGACCTTCTCCCCTCTCATGCTGTTTCTCTCTCTCTCTCAAATAAATAAATAAAATCAAAAAAAAAAAAAAAAAAAAACTGTCAGCCAGGTGGCCTCTTTTGCCAAGATGTGTTGAAAATTTATCATTGTTTTCCTCATTTGCGTTTAAGGAGTGGTGCGTGCATTCCATGCTATAGAATTTAATCTGTTTCTAAATTGTACTGACTGAACTTTGCAATTCTGGGGACATTTTCCTGAGGGATAAGTGACAGCCATTGTGAGGTTTGGATAGAGATCATCTCCCTGTGAGGCTTTGTGTTTCTGCAGAAGTGTGGCCTGCTCCCACTGGACCCCCGCAAACCTGCAGAAAGCGGGTCATCTGAGCAGGTGCCTTGGACGTCCTGCGGTGCCCCGCATGCTGGCTGAACTCCGGGCTGCCTGCACTGGCCCGCCGGGCTTGTGGGGGGTCCGCGGGCTCAGCGGTGGGAGCCGGGACACAGTGTATGACGTGATGGCGGGCCGTGTGTCAGCTGAGCCTGGTGGTTCCTGCGGGGATGCTGTTCCCCCCTCCCCCCTGGCAAGCAGGACGGACAGATGCCTCTGAGAGTTGGGGTCGACCCACCCCCGCCCCCCAAAACAAAAGAGAATGAAACCCAGGCCTCCTGATTCCCTGGAGTGTGGGCGGCGGGAGGCCAGATGGGGGAGGCTCCTGAACTCAGCAGGTCCCCTGTGCGGGGCATCCCTGTCTTCGTGGCCCTGACTTACGTGGACACGGTGGGAGGCTGGCACACGGCCGCTTATAGGGAGGCGGTGGGAGCAGGGCAGGGCTGCTGGCCAGCTGGGGGACCGTGCGGGGCCTGGGCAGGACCGAGAAGGCACGGCGCATCTGGGCGTGTCTGAGCTGTCAGGAGAGCCAGCGGATGCGGTGACTGAACAGCGCGGGTCTGCTTACACGCAGACTCTTTCAGTAAACGCAGTACAGTCCTGGAAATGCGTTTCTTTCTTGCGATTTTCTTAGTAACACTTTTTTTCCTCCGGCTTACGTTTTATCAGGATACACTTATGTGGTAACTGAGGTTTCCGGTCAGCAGTAGGCTGTGAGTCCTTAAGCTCTTGGGGAGTCAGGAGTTATAGACGGATCCCCGACTTCGCAGGTGTTCGGTGCCCCTAACCCCTGTGTTGTTCAGGGTCAGTTGTACCAAATAAAGTCCTGTCCTGTCCGCGCTTTGTCCAGGGCGTCTTCACAGGGACCTGGAGGCCAGGGGTCTGCTCCAGACTGGGCCCTCGGGGAGCCTCACTGGGGTCGGCCTGCTTCCCTCGGGTTCTGGCTGTGCCCTGCGTCATGGGGGCGGGTGTCACAGGAGGTGGAGGAGGGTGCAGAGGGGCCCTTTGGGGCCCAGAGCAGCGGTGTCCCTGGCCGCGGGCAGCCCCTGGGACACTGTGGGTGGGATGGCAGTGAAAGCACAGGCCCCGTGCAGACGGCGCTCTTCGTTTTCTTCCCTTTTCGCAGGCAGCTGATGGCACAGGAGCCCCTGGAAAAACTGGGATTTGGAGATTTGATCGGTGGAAAACCAGAGGCAAAAACTTAACTCTTAATGGGAGGAAGACCACCAGCTGCCCCGTCTTCCGGGATGGAGCTATTGTGCAACCTTGTCAACTGGCGGCTTGTAGTTAAATGCTGTGACATAGAGGCTTCCGGAATGCCCTCCTTGACGGAAACAGCTCATCCTGATGTTTCCCAGGTTATTTTGAAAAATTATTGTTGGTTTTAGATCTCATTTTCCCCCAAGAGTGTTAGGTTTTATCTTTACGTCGCGTGTGGCAGAGTTCCTAGGGAGACCCGTGGCGGGCGGGAGGTAGGAGTGCGGAGTCATGCCTGCTTGGCCAGGGGACCCGCGGCCTGGGTGACACGGTGACTCCACAGCGTGATACTGTGCGTGGCTTCCCGGTGCTGGCGCGCTGAGTGCTCTCAGCTTTGGCCTCCCACAGAGACACGGATACTGGGAGAAACTGTTCTGGGCAAAACGGTTTCCTTGTTGTGCTTCTTTGCACTGGTTCATTTCCTGTTTTTTTTTAAACAAAATATAGAGTATGAACTTGGAAAGGAGAGATCATCTGGCTTTTGACCTGTTTGACTTAGTGATATTTTTCTGGTAATGTCTGAACACCAAGTACCTTTTAACCAAAGACTCATTTTGTAACCGGTGCAGACTGTGTTACAGTTTAATTGCAAGGATCTGTTTATCGTAACTGGGAAACAGGGTGTCAGGACATTTGTAGTTTGCCTCACACGTGGTCTCCCAGCGTCTCCTTCTGAAAGAACATTCAGGCTGACGCGTGTCAGGGCGACGGTCCCGGGGCGTCTCGTTAGCCAGAGCCGCC